GGAAGAGCGGAGCAGTTCGCCCGCATGCGGGAGCCAACTCCACGAAGTGATCGCGGAGAGGGCATCCGCCGCACAAGGCGGGCAGTTTCCGCGCGTCTTCCTTCCGAAGCGGTCGTACTACCGACTGAGCGTATGTACAAAAAGCAGACCGATTAGAATTGAAGGGGCGTGGAGGATGCGGCCAGGGAGGGGGGGGGGGGGCGCAAGAAAATGTTCGGGCGGGGCATCCGGTGCGGAAGTGGGGGTTGGGAGTGGGGGTGGGGGCTATTGCAGCAGTTATCACATATATGTATAGAGAGTGGGCCACTACATGCGTGACCCAACGCAATCCGCAATACTGGCTTCCTTCGGCTCTCTATGTACACTGGGGCGGCGGCCGATACATCTCCACCAGCCCGCGAAGTCGAGGACGCGACTCAACCGGTCCGAGGAGCCGTGGAGGCGACCCGCGGCTGACGCGAGGCACTGCCGCCACCCCACAGCGGGCGACGACGGCTGCCGGCCGCGACGCCCGCTCTTCTCCGTCGGCGCGGGCGCCCCGTCGGCGCGCCGCCGTCGGCGCAGACACACCAGCGGGGCAAGACAAAAAGGAACGAGGCCCGCGCGGCCGGCGCACACACACGGGACGGTGGCCGATGAAATGGTGAACAGTGGAGACACGTGAAGAGCAGTCATTCAGCGACGAATCGTGGCCGCGGAGGGAGCGCGGCGGCGGAGTCATGTTCCTGGCCAATCACAAGCCGCAACGGCAGTGTGCGAGTGACGTCATATCTCGTCAGACGAATCAAAACAAGCAGGGTTCGTAGCCTACCCCACGCTTTGTGACCAATCAAAAGCCGCGAAAGCAGCACGGGTGTCGTTACCTACAAGTCTGCCAATCACGAAGTCGCGACGGCGACGTGCCGGTGACGTCACCCAGTGTCCAATCAAGAGTTGCGAAACAGCACGCGACGTTAGCGTGCGCCACAGGCCCGCCAATCAGTGGCGAGTATGAGACCCGGCTCCACGGTGACAGTCGGAGACTCGGGCTCGCGCAGATCATTGTCTTCTTCGCTGCGCTCGCGCATGAAGTGGAGGGCGCGCGTGCGCGCGACCAGCCGCCAGGGCTCCTGGCGCGTCGCGGTGGCCAACAGCTGGTCCCGACGGTTCCCAGCTGGTCCCGGCGGTCCACAGCCGGTCCGGCCTACTGCGGCGGGCGCGCGCCGGCCGGCATCGTCTGCAGCACAGTCTGAGAGCCGGGCCGCCGGCGCCCTGCTGACCCTCCAGCGGAGCGCAGCAGGTTCTGCACCACGTTGAGGTCCACAGCCACCGGTCGGAACTCGTCGGCCTCGTCCAGGTCCCGTGCCGGACGAAGCGCTGGCGACCCGACTGAAACACGGAGGCGGGACGGTCAACCGGGGCCGCGCACAACTCCCAACCAGTGCACCAAGAGCTATCACCTGGACAAACCCAGCAGAGGCCGCTTGCTAAGCTTTCTAATCCGTAAAAATCACGCATCGAAAACAATTAAACACACAACGCACATCATCTTACAGTCCATGATACTGGTAAGATGAGGCCCTAACGAACACTCAAGCGAAAACACGCTATCCTGCAATAATTCCGTGACGGCACACACCACCCCGTGACATCGCACACACCTCCTTCCTGACGGCGTTCGTGGCGCGCACGAAGCTCTCCGCGAGCGTCGTGTCACGCAGCTCCTCGTCCATCTCGGCCATCAGCTGACGCACGGGACCACCGTCGGCGGGCTCGTCCCAGCAACTCGTCCAGCGTCGCCGAGGCCTCCTCATCGCCGTACGACGACATGCCGGACGAGTCGGCGTCGCTCCAGTCGGCCCTCGTCCAGGCCCAGGTCTGAGGAACGAGCGTGGCCAGGTCCAGCCATGAGGGGGAGGGGGCAACGAGCGACACGACGGACACGTGAGTGGCCAAGTGAGCTTGTGATTCTGCATCGCGTCCAGCACAGCCGCCGGTGAACGCGCTCGGCGATTGCCGGTGAGCTGATCGCCTTGTTCTGCCGGAGCGCAGCGTCACGAACATGTGCTTGACTCACGATACGAAACAGCTCGCTCACCATACCACAGGACTTCGTCTGTCTCAGGCCCAAGACTATGACCCGACCTCGACTCACCCGCAGTCCAAACCTGACACAGGACTGTTGATTAATACGACCGTACTGAAACCCCGCCGGCGAGCCGCGCCTCGCGCTATGACCATGACTCGCCCTCTACACAGCGTCACACGCCTCCACTCCGACTGACTCTCACCCTGACTCTGACTCATTCTGACTCACCCAGCATGCCGCGCATGGCGTCCCGTGAAGCTGTCCGCGTTGAAGTCGATCTTCTGGCTGAGCGTGGAGGAGGACGCCGGAGGCGGTCGAGGCTGGCTCAAGCGTGGACACCTTGCGGGCGGCGGCCGCCGACAGCTTGCGGCTGGGCTGGCGGCGGAGCGGACGGCGTCAGTCACGGCGGAGCGGCCCGTCGGAGGGGAGGCCCTTCAGCGTGACGGGCCGCGCCCAGGCAGGCGAGGGTCAGGTGTGAACTCGAGGCGGTAGTGTGGCCCTGGCTGGTGTTTATTTGTGATCTGGCGGCGTGCACCCACGTCGCATATGTTTATGGCGGTTTTTCACGTGCTGATATGTTTAAAACCCGTTTAAGTTTCTGAACTAGCGCACGGTGTGCTCTTAGTGTCTGAAACATGGCTCGAGACAGTTCCTGTTTGCAGCTGCATTTTAGTAGGCGGAGGTCCGCAGACTCACACATCCAGCTGCCGATCATGACAACGCTGCCCAGCCGCTGCCACATCAGCCGAGCGGCAGCCGCTCGGCCCGCTCTCGGCCGCCACCCGACTCGCCCTCGCCGCCCGCCGGCTGCTCACCTTGCGCGCGCGGGAGCTCTTGCGACTGGCCGAGTCCGCTCCGGCCGGCAGTTCTACGCCGTCCAGGCCGGAGAGGCGGCCGAGGAAGTCACGCAGCTCCTCGGCCACCACCTCAGGCTGCTGCTGCTCCAGCTGGAACTGGGCCGCCAGCAGGCCGTCCAGCTGGTCCGGGCTCACTTCCAGCCAGGCGTCGTCTGTGGAGGGCAGAGGCGGGCGTTGTGACCAGAGGATTTGGCTGGCGATCCCTTGAGGGGTCGTGGGAGCTGAGAGGCCGCAGAGATTTCACAACTTTTTAATTGGATCCATGACTTAAACCACAAATCATGTACAGAGCAAAATATCTCTAAAGCCCCTGTCTGACAGAGCCATCTGATGGTGATGTGGAGATAAGAGCTTTGCTCCATTTTCGGCATCTCTCCGGCACAAAGGAGGTAACGGTTCATGACACACCTCTACCACATCAAAGGGCGCACCAATCGATGGCGCAATCTCCTTGCAGCAGATGACGCCGCTATCGGCCGCAATTCACGGCATCCGCCCAATGATCAAAACCCGCGCAGCCCACGCGCGCCAGTGCTGTCACCTACCGTCGGCGGGCGGCAGCTGAGCTTCGCGGCGCCGCCACTCGGCGTGGTCCACCTTGATCTTGGCCATGAGCTGGTGGACGGCGTCGCCGGGCGCTGACTGCCGCGTCTCGCTCAGCATGTGCGTGACGTAGTACTGGCGCGCCTTCTCCGTCAGCGCCGAGTGCTGCCGAGACCCCTCCAGCTCGTCCTGAGGACGCGCGCACCGCGGTCAGACGGAGAGCCGAGACGGACGCGCCGGCGAGGAGGGAGGGCACACAGCGGACAGTGGGTGCTGAGGGGCTCGAGTGGTTCTCTCTGATGTCTGGGCCGTGGGGGGCCATACGAGTTTGACTTCAACGTGGGATGAGGCGCGGACGTGGTGCGAATGGGATAAGGCTTGGCACTGTGAAGCCTTGGACTTGGAACTGTAAAGCCTTTCTAAGACTGAATACGGCTGATACTATGCGCTTACCCCGCACCAAGCACACCTTCAGGCTTAAACATGGCTGAGATCTAGTGCTAATGATCGTAAAATGTGCATTGGTGATAACTCTCACATCCGTCAGCAATATGGTGACAAGGGCGAGCAGGACCAAACGCAACGCTGATAAGCAGGTAAATGTTCATTCAGCACTAAAGACATTACGGAAATGCCAGCATTACAAATGATACACTGCAAAGAAGGAATGAGGCGCCATTTGTGGGTATGGCGATCAGGCGTGTATGCCGTGATTATGCTGAGCCCCGAACGACCAAATTTTACCAACCGCATTCCAAACGGCCCTGACATCGTCTCCCGCGAGAGGATTTCAGTAGCCTTGAAATCGTTTCCCACAAGCGGATTTCAGCACGCAAAAATGCCGGCACAACAGGGGCCCGTGAAATGTCCCGTCGGACAAAACAGCGCTGCCTCCTTCCCGGAAGAACGTTAGGAGCTGCAGGGAGTTTTGGCCGGCTCGATCCCGGAAATCCTGCGGGCCCCGGTGACCGGGCGGCCCGACACGTCCCGAGCCTCGGCCGGAGACGCAGCGCTCGTTAGCAGACGTGTCAGCGAGATAAATCACCGCCCCGCCGACAGATACAAGGCATGTGTCCTTTTTATAATGAGCTTTCCAAAGCCCCAAATCCCCCCATACGCGGCCGGTGACTTTCACGTGCTCCCTGGCGACAGCGGAACTGCAGCCGCCCACCTGCACGCCCGGGATCCGATCAACACCACGCCGAGGTGACATCGACAGGCGGCGTGTTAGCTGCACGTCACTCAGACGCATCCACCGCGCCGCTGCGCCCCGCCTGCCGAGCACTCACGCCAAAGTATCGCTTCTGCTGCAGTGACGTCACGTAGCGCTGCCACCTGACGTCATCACGGAGCTCGTCCAGGCCGGGGTCGACGTTGGCCAGGTCTTCGGCCGGCCTCGATCGCGAGGCTAGGATCTCCAGACCGCACGCCTGGGGGAGAACGGTCAAGGGTTAGCCACGGGGCGACGTGTCGACGGTGACCCTCCAATACGCGAAGACACGGCGAAAGACTCGCGGCGTCGGCGTCCGCATCCTCGACGTCACGTGATCAAACTGAGAAGTGTCACCCCTACCCCACGGTTGGACGCCTGGAAACCGCCGCGAGAAAGAACAGGCAAAGTTTGAGGACGAGCGCCGGCAGCGCACCGAAACGCGCGCCGTCTCCAGCGGCCGCGTGACCGCGTTCAAACGCCGCTCGTGAGCGGCGTCGGCCAATCTCGCGGCCAATCACGGCGGCCGCGGCACGCGCGGCAGCTAACGCCAGCCAATCGGCGAACAGCGTTTCGTCAGCCGCCGCGGCCGGCCAATCGCGGCTGGCCGTCGAGCGCGGATGCCAACACGCCAGGAGGCCACTGAGGCGCGCCGGTGGCTGGTCAGCGCCCGGTGGTGCCCGCCGCGCGCTGAGTGGCCGGGCGGGCCGCCGGCCGGCTCGCGTGCCACACGCCACCAGGTGCGCTCGGCAAAAATCGACACCATTTTTTGGCACCAGCATCAGTGACGACGCCGCGAGAGGGGGTACAAAAAAGCGCCGCGTGCTGACGCAGGCGGGACGTGGGCGGTCGGCTCAGGCCGTCACGGCTCCCGAGGCCGTCACGCTCACGCGACCGGCGAGTGCCTGACCCCGCAGAAGGGTTAGGGAGATAGAGAGGGGCGCGCCTCCAGGCGGGCGGGGGCCGCCGTCGAAAGGCTAACGGCGTACGGGATTCTGCCGATGACCACGTAATGGCACACGATCACTCATCGCCAGCGTTATCCGGCGGCGGGCCGGTCAGGAACTGGACAACGGACGGGCAGCGGTCAGGAGCTGGACAGCGGACACGCAGCGGTCAGGAGTCGGACAGCGGACAGGCAGCGGTCAGGAGTCGGACAGCGGACAGGCAGCGGTCAGGAGTCGGACAGCGGACAGGCAGCGGTCAGGAGTCGGACAGCGGACAGGCAGCGGTCAGGAGTCGGACAGCGGACACGCAGCGGTCAGGAGTCGGACAGCGGACACGCAGAGGTCAGGACGGCACAAGCCGGTCCTTGCCGTGTCCGCACAACCGGTCGGGTCAGGCACGGAACTGATGCGCCACTGGGCAATCTGCCGGCATAATCTGAACACCACACCAGCCGGCGAGTCCCGCGGTTACTCCACCGCTTACACAACCGCATCACACGTTAATTCCGGCCCTGGCTGACTGGACAGGCAAACCGCGCGGCGACGGAGGTCCCACAAGCCGCTAATCACGTCCACGGGCGGGGAAACTGCCTGCGCAGGCCACCAACGGGAGCTTTACTGGCCGTGGCACACTGCGGCGGCGTTACATGACCGAACCGCGACGAACATCGCGCGATTCGATTACGGCTGGCTGTCAGTATGGGAGAGCTGCAGAGCCGTGATCGGGTTTTCTGACGGCATAAACAACCCTTTTTACAAAATGCTCTTGCATGCCACCTTCCATTTTTTAGTTCCCACACAAACCTGATCCCGCGAGAAAATGCCTGCCGTTAAACAGCGCGTCATTTCGTAGTCGGAGAAAGGCTCCATGACTTCATCAGCTGCTCATTAAAGCCTATTTCACGATGTTTGCGGAGTACCCGGTGATTCACAAACTGGATGAACACTTTTTGAATGGACCGCGTAGACCAAATTTTGTGCAAGAAATGGGCATTCAGCTAACAACCAATCCAATTGACAAAAATAAATGCATTCCATAATTACACTGAGGCAGCGTTCGCAACCCCAGAGCATATTGATGAACCCAATGGATCATCCCTCCCCAGAAAAAAAACACGCAGCAACCACACCTAGTTTTTGATGGCGTAGCCAATGCGCTCACGGCAATTTCCGAGGGGATAATCCTGTTTCCGAGCGCACCCCGCCAATTCCCACACACCCAGTCAAATTTCATAACACCGTACATGGGCAGCAGGCCTGCGGCGACGCATCACACTCACAGTGCTAGCGTTCACTGCTAGATGTCAGACTCACCAGCTTCATGCCGACGTCGGCGGCGCGGTGCCCGGGGTCGCCGCCAGGTGGCAGCTGCCAGCCCGTGCGCACGTCCGGCCGGTAGCGCTGGTGCACCAGCTGGGCGTACAGCGTCTTGGTGAACGTGACGCACGTGCGCACGCACGTCTCCGGCGGGAAGAAGCGCATGCTGCGACAGGCCTGAGGACGGCGAGACCGGCTGCCGGTGATGACGGCATTCCGGTTCCGAGAGTGGAAATACGAGTTCGCGTTTACCGTGACGAACACAGCGAGGCCAGCCGACAGGTAACAAGAGTGACTGCAGCAGACTGCAGCACCGAGAGGACGGTCCTCAGGATCGGCCCGCCCGCAGACAGGCGACAGCCTCGCCTCACAACACAACCGCGCAGACCACAGACACGCCTCCCCCCCTTCCCCCAATGTAACGCACTAGCTTGCGCCGCCACCAGCGCCAGCCACGCCACGCCCGATCTGCGGCCTCACCTTGAGGTCGATGGGGTCGCGCAGGTAGAACGCCTGCACCGCCGCCGGCAGCAGCTGCGGACACGCCTGCAGCAGGGCCGCCGCCGCAGCCGGCGTGCGAACTATGGCTAGGTGGTGTGACTCGGTTATCTTTCCGGGGTACCTGCGTGGAGGAGACGGGCCGGGACATGAGAGGGGCGTCGCCGGGCGCATGCCAGTGTTTGTAAACCACCGCGTCGCAGACCAAGAGGGACCATCGGACGACAGTGCTTGAGAACACGAGCAAGCTGAGCGGGCCCCAATCAGCTGACTGCCAACGCCCGCGACCTTTCTGCCGTGTTGCCATGGACGCGTCGGACCGAAGGGCCGTCGGCTAGCCCGAGCGGCCCGGAAGCGGCGCCGCGTGAGTGGCGACACCGCGGCGGGCCCAGTCTCCTCGGCGCCGCCCGCCGCCAGGGCGCGGACGCCGTGTCGTAACAGGCCCGCGCGGCGCCGGGCGGCCCTTCTCCGGGCAGTGTCCAATCACCAGCGATTAGTCTGCCGTCGCCACAAAAACCTACGCGCCTTTTACCCGCGGACGGGGCAAAAAGCTCCGCCCACCGCGCGCGTCCTCTACTCACCCGTCAATCTTCTGCTGAATCGCCTCGTTGACTTGGGCGTCGGCCCGCGTGGCGGCGCCAACGTCGCGCACGGCGTCCACTGCTGCCATGGTTACGGGCGCGCCGTCGGCAGCCGTCAGCTGATCGTCGCCCGGCCAAGAGAGTGGCAACAAGTGAATGTGTCCGTCGTAGACGTACACCTGTGGGAGAAGGGAAAGGGGCGTTAGACACGGTGCATTTCAAAAGTAAGTGCTGCCGCGTCGCCTATGCATTTGAAGACAGCACAAACTTGCTGGGAACGACTGCAGTATCAAGGGCGCACGCACGATTTTGACAGTGCGGGGAGGGGCACAAGTAATTTTCGCAGAAAACTGAGTAAAGCGCGCGACAGGTGCGCTTTTTACGCACATTTTTTACCTGTAATAAAAACACGATATGCTTTTGACTTTCTCATTTACACGTGGTACCCTGGATGGCCTGTCGTCATTTGGTGGCGTACATATTAATCCACGCTTTAATGCGTGCGCCTCTGTATCCTCCCCTCCATAAGCCATCACACAGCCCGAACAACGGTGTTCAAACATGTTTTGAGGTCTCATCCGATGGTCTCATCCGATGTTTTGAGGTCTCATCTCATCCGACCCTCGATATACCACCCGCTCAGTCGGGAAATAACGTCTGATTTGAGGAAGAGATTTTTCTCATCACACGAAATGTCACGCTTCTGGGCCAAACACACGGAATGTCCCGTCATATCGGGTGGCTTGGGGCGTCATCACATCACGTCCGGTTTAGATCCAGGAAAGGTTGGACGTCATGAGACAATGGCCGAGGCCAGCGGCCGACGCCGTTCCCAGTGGCAAGAGGTCCGCGGACGGGCAGTGAACGCAGGGTGGGCAAACAACAGACAATGGGGTACTTTTCCGGTACATGGAGACCGGGCAGGCCAAGGAAACATCAACGTCATCAAGCACCTACTTGCACTTATTGGCATGTCCAGGAGGGTGACAAGGGTCAAGTAAATCCGTCAGCACAAGTTGACATTGCAAAAACCCGCCACCTGGCCAAGTGGTAACATCTTGGGACAGCTTTAATACTGGCTCGACCCTCCCTGTGCGCCAGCTCTCACTACGTTGTTCCTTTCAACAGGCGTCACAAGTCCGCCTGAACACGTCCTCACTGGTCCTCACCTCGGCCCTCGCCGAGAACCGCACACCCTTCCCCACAAGCCGCATTCCTCCTCACCGCGGCCGCTGCCTCCGCCCCTGCCGCTGGCGGTGGTTCAAGCAGTTTGGCTGGGCCGTGGGGGCGACCGCAACCGTTAGCGTCGCAGAGGTCAGTGACCCACCGGGCCGCCGCCAGGTCACGTGACTGGACGCCGCGACACGCCAATTACCGCCGGCAGGGTCACGTGGTCCGGCCAGCCGCCGCCGACAAAAACGAGCGCAAGAACGCCACTCACGCCAGCCTGCCGTGAGATACCGCACGACGCTGCGAGCCGTCGTATGGCCCGCTGTCTGCATCACGCTGTGGGTCTGAGCGCTGTGACTGCCGCGGGCAGCAGGAGCCTTCGTGGGCTGCCCTAGGGCGGACTGGGCCACCGTGACTGCCGCGGGCAGCGTCAGCCCTTGTGGGCTACGTTGGGGTGTCCTGGGCCACCGTTGGGCCCCATGGCTAAAAGGCCATGCTGCGGGTATATGCGAACCGTGAGCCACATCAACGGCCGGGTTCACGGGCCACACCAAGCAGCATGCGCATTCGTCCGCCCCGTCCCAACGTCCAGATGGCTGCGCCACTTCAACTGGTTCGGCTCATGAATGAGGCAAAGATCAGAACGCTCGTGTAGGGCGAGCAGCCTGAAGGCAGGGTCACCGAGTATTCCCACACAGCGCCTTACGTTAGATAACCAAGCCAATACCGTGCGCAAGGCTGAATGGCTGCAGTTTCCACTTAGATGTTCCGTCCCCGTCACGCGCTAAAATCAGAGAATACTGGGAGTCACCGCCGCATTCCAGAGGCTTGGAAAATTCCGCCCGCACCTCGGCCACCGGCGGGTGTCTTGACTGGCCGGTGACGGCGGCGCCGGTCACGGCCGGGTCACGGCGGCGCACCTTCGCAGAGCCGACAGCTGCTGACTCAGGCGGTGGCCTTTCCCGCGGCGGCCGGCCGGCCGGCGGACCGCTCCGCGCCCGGCCGCCCTCCCCGGCAGCTTCCGCGAACGCCGCGCCGCCGTCCGGCACAAGTGCGCCGCCTCCGCCGCCGATCGGCAGTCGCCGGCCGGTCGTGTCGCGGCAGCCCGGCCGGCACGCCCCGCGGCCCCCGCGGCCCAGCCCGGCCGACCCGAGCGCTGCACCATCTAATCCGGCCGGCAAGGAAGCCAGTGACAGCTGCCGCTCTTGAACTTGCGACCGGCGGCTAAAAAACCGCCGCGCGGATGAGCCGCTCGTGGCGGGGGGAGGGGGAGGGGCGGGCGAACCGGTGGAGCGACATGCCGCTGCTGGCGGCCGGGTCACCAGAGGTCGGTGCCCGCGGGCGCCCACGAGCCCGGTCAGCCTTGAACGCCAACAGGTGACGGCCGTCCAGGGAGATCGAATAAAAATGGACGCCTCGGAAGCGAAACTGCAGCGCTGCCGGATTCGGTTTTTGCAGCGCCGAGGCGATTTTTGGCGGCGGCGGGGCGATCCGTGAGGACTGTCCCGGACCACTTTCGACAGCCCTGACGAGCCTGATGGGCCGCGCCGCACGAGCGCTCGCCCCGTCGCCGCTAATCCCGGCGCGCCTCTCCATCCAAACCATCCCGAATCGGACACGACCGGCCAGCCGATCGGTCAGGCTCAGTCACCGGCACGTAGTCCCCCCCCCCTCCCCTCCCCGGTCATCCCCTGTCCTACAGCTTACGGGCGCCGGCGACTCCCTGCGACGAAGCAGAAGCCGTTCTCGGTGGCGCGCGCCGTGGCTGTGAGGCCGCCGTGTGGTGACACGTGACCGGGCGGCGGCGGTGGCGGCGACTGGACCACCGGCGCCGGCGCGCTGACCGGGTAAGGCGGCCAAGCGGCGCGCGACACGACACGACAGGCGGCGCTGCAGCGCCCGCCTGCCGGTAAGCCTGATGGCCTGACGGCGCGCCCGTCGCGCCTGGCCGAGCGCCGCCTGTCCTAGCTTCGTGAGCCGAAATCTAGAGCCTTCTGTTTAGTTACAGCTGGCGCCCTTTTAAGCCCCGAGCGCGGCACTGCGCCGTGTGGGCGACAGACCTTCAGTTGCCCCGTCTCAACGACTGCTGTGATTCGCCAGCGACTTAGCGGGGAAATCTTACATAAACCGACCTGTTCTCCAATGATATGCAGTGCGATTCAAAGAGGGCGGTCGTTTTACGGCTTGGACCTGGTCGGGGTGGGCAGGCGACGCTGCACTCGGTGCTGCAGCCTCACCAGCCGCCCGGGGCGCAGGGGTCCGAGCAGTCCTCCAGGACCAGGCGAATGACGCCAGCTGGCAGGCATGTCGGCCACAGAAGGTCAGCGGAGCGCGGACCAGTGCGCCGCCTTTGAAGGCCACGGACACCGCTCGGACTCCGAGGAAATCCGTCTGGAACTCCGCTGGACGGCCAGGACCTTGCTCGCCGGGACCTTGCTCACCGGGACCTTGCTCACCAGGACCTTGTTCACCGGGACCTTGCTCACCGGGACCTGCTTCGCCGGTACGGACGAAAAGACTGGATTTTAACCCCCCTTAGATCGGATCAACGCCGTACGGTAGTTACGACAAGGGCGCCCCCGAGCTACCAGGAAAGACTAAATTCTTCCGCTTGTTTCCGCCGATCCGCTGCTGCAGCGGCCGGCGGGTCCGCTAGCTCTCACCCCACTTCAGGCGGAAGGCGCCGGGCGGCACCGGCTTCCGCGAACTTGCTGCACTCATAGCGTGCCGGCCAAGCCCATCAGTACGAGACCGGGGCTCGGTGACGACCGCCGGGTCCGTTCGTCGAGAAGGCCCGCGGATCAGCGGAACTGGTGGCTCAGGAGCAGTTCGGCGGCCGCTTAGAGGGAGCCCACGGGGGCACGTTCGGCGCCGCTCATATGAAGCCCACGGGACACGTTAGGCGGCCATTCACAAGGAGCCCCCGGGGGCACGACCGGTGGCCCACGGGGGCACGTTCGGCGCCGTTCATAAGGAGCCCCCGGGGGCACGATCGGTGGCCCACGGGGGCACGTTCGGCGCCGCTCATATGGAGCCCACGGGGACACGTTAGGCGGCTGCTCATATGGAGCCCCCGGGGGCGCGTTCGGCGGCTGCTTAAAAGGAGGCCACAGAGACACGTTCGGTGGCCGGTCCAGAGCAGCCCTGACAAAGCTCCACTCAGACTGCTGGAGGTGATGAGTTGGGCGGGGCGCGGGAGGCGAACGAGGTCGCGTGCCAGGGGATCGCAGAGATACTGCGGAGTAGCAGAACATGACCAAAGGACTGATCCGACCACAGTGCAACAGCACAGACCAAACGGACAGAGTCACAGACCAGATTAGCCCTATGAGGAGCTACGGGCTTCTACTAAGGGCGTCTTACGGAGACAAGCCCACCATCAAGGCAGGCGCTCCGCGCAACTCCGCGCGGACAAGCACAGTGTCCGCGCACAACTATCTCCGGTTGATAGCAGCTTAACCCAAAGCCGGCCAAACTCCTAGCAAAAGAACACCGAACACAAACGCAACATCCGACCGCCAGCACGCGAACAACCATCACCGGCCGTCGACACACTCCCCGCTCCAGCACCGCCCACAGCGCCGGCCACGACGCGGCGAGCACCAGCCACACCAGCGGCGTCACCTTCTGTAGCGTCACCACCGCCTCGCTTCGGCCGCACCACCGCACTGCCGCCCGGTACGCCGGCTCGCAGCTGCGCGCGCTGGCCTACTTTCCGCCGCAATTACCTGCCAGACAGCCATGCGGAACGGCCACCGATTGGCTGTCAGAGGGGGGATGGGGGAGGGGTCGCGTGCCACCCCCTGTTGGTAAACACGGCCATCGCGTGCGGCCACCAGCGCCCCGCTATGATCCGTGCCGGGACAGTCACGCAGCCGGCGGCTGAGCCGGTCCTCGGCGCCCGCGCCGCCCACTCGGCCGGAAAGCCACGCGACGCGGGCGGAGACTGTCCGGGCGCCGCCAGGACGAGGGAGAGGTGGGGGGGGGGGGGGGGTGAAGTGGCTTCCAGCCGGCGCGCCGGTGCGAGCCCGGGCGGCGGCGGCCTCGGAATCGGCCTTGATGTTTGTTCGTTCGCCAATTTGCTGGCCCGGTGGCACGATCGCCGCCGTCCGACTCCTGTGGCCTTCCGCCTGCGATTGTAGGGGGGGGGGGGGGGGGCACCCGCCGACGGGTGAACGGTGACCTCGCAGCCAGAGCCGCACGCCATTGGCCTTCTGATCAACCGCGGCTCAGGGGACGTTCATTCACAGTGCTCGCCCAGAGTGAGCTCCCTCCACCATGCACGAGCTGAGGGCGCGCGCGGCACCAGCCTCTGGACTCTGGATCAACACCTCCATGGTAGGCGAAAGCCACACGGGGTGTTTGCCAGGTCCATCATGTCGCAAATTATGGGGCAAAAGGCCTGTAGGCGCGGCGGCCTAAGAGGCCACCTCCGGGATGGACCAGATAACGATAACCATACTGCGCTGACGTCAAGGCGCTCTTCCCGCTTGGTGCGATGCGGTCGCGACGCTTCCTGGTGTGCGTCGTCCGCCGACCGCAGTGAGCTCATCGTGGGGGGGGGGGGGCTCACCTGTTCCCCGGCCCCTCCCCTCAAACCGCCGACCGCAGATGAGCGATGTGCCGCTCGCCAGGAAGGGCACAGCCCAGCCGTCGGACATTCTTCCCGGTCCGGTGGCCCAGTCAAGGTCCCGGCCGAGCCCCGCCGGGCCCCGAGACGGCAGGCGCGAGCACAGATTTCCGCACCGCAGAAGCCGCTTAACGGCGCCGGAAAAAAACGAGCCGTTGCTTGGCACTACGACTCCCCTCTCACGAGGCTGACGGGCGTTTTTGACCGAGCCGGCCAACAGCCGGCTTTTACTAATTTTAACCGGGACAGTGGTTTAAACCCGTTTTAAACCGTTTATAAACGGCTTTGACGGGCGTGAAATCGACACAAATCAGTTAACGCACCATTCATTCCGCAAATGATATAAAATAATTACAATCGCAACAAAGAAGTTGATAACTTAAGAATGCTTTTTCGTACTAAGGCGGTGCCGCAACAGCACGTCCTGCAAGTAATAAAATGGTCGAGTTGGATGCTCAACTTCAACTGCAATTGATTTTTCCTACCAAAATGCCCTGCTGCTTAAACCTTAATGATGTCGTCTTTAATCAATGCAATCCCACATTCAAAGGTTAGAAATCGAGTACCATAATGGTCAAACATGTAGTTCCTGCCCCGCTGACGTCTGAGTCTAGTACTTCTTCCGCAATTGCTACTTAAAATGACCGTGACGTGGCAACGGACATGCACCCGTCGAAGCCAGCTTATACCAATTGGTGACGCGACTTTAACTCATTCAGGCCATCCCGCATGCACCGCAGCTTAAACTGATTAGACCAGCCCCGCGGCCTGATCTCGCCAGCTCCGGTTTTTACCCGGCCGTCAGATCGGCCTGGCAGGCGTTGCAGTGACGACAGCGCTGACAGGAAGCTGAGGGTTCACGTGGGCATGACGGCCACTGAGCGCGGGTCGCGTCTCCGGCACCCTCCCAAGGTGACCTTGACACGCCGGGCCGCCGCCGGTCGCAAAGGTCAGCGCGAACAAAGACCCCATGAAGCAGAAAAAGCGACGTGCAAGCGCGGCAAAAACGCCGCTGCGTGAGCAACAAATCGGCGCGGCCCGCGCGAACCCGGCGCGGCCGGCGCGAACCCGGCGCGGACGAGGCAGCGGCCGTCGCGGCGCGCGCCGCTCCGGTATGCGCTCCCAGCGCGGGCGAGCAGCGACCCGCGACGAGCCCGATCAATGAGAACTCGGCGACCAGCCCGGCTGATTCGGGCGGCGCCGAGAGCCCGTCAGCACTGAGCAGCCGCTTGGTCAGGCGACCAGGCGGGCTGACAGGAAGCCTGACGCGACGCGTGACAGCACCCCGTCAACCGTCCGGGCATAGAACACGCCACCCACTACAGAGCCCCGACCAGCGAAAACAAGGCGCCGCCACCCTCGTAAACCGAGCCCAACAGCGAACCCAAACAACGACGTCAGCGCACAGGTCACCGGCCCCTCGCATCACCTGTCGCGTGCTACTCACGAGCTCGTGCGGCGCCGCGCGCGTCGCAAGGTCACAGGTCGTCGGGTCACGCTCGTCGCGGCGCCGCGGGCGACGCGCCGCCAGACAGCGTGCCGCCGACTGCCGCCGCCCCGGCCCGGCCCGCGGCGGACCTCCCCGCGCGCAGCCGCGGCGCAGCAGGGGAGCGTGCTGCGAACGCCGGCGGGCGCGGCGTCTTCCGCGCTGACACCGGAGCTGGTGACCACTGAACATTGTGAACTTTAGGCGTGTATGAGATTGAGGACTGAAGGAACCCGGGGAAACGAAAACGTCACGGAAACGACAGAAACGGGCTGGTCGGCCCTTCATGGTCGCGCCCCATGACCTCCCCCTCTTTTGGCTCCGCCGGGGACTCCGGCAGGGTGCCTCCCGCGAGAAAAGTCGCCATGAGGGATGATCTTTCACGCAGTTAACGACACCGAAAAAGACGCAGGAAACTGGCGGCTCCACCGGATATTGATCTGCCGGCTCAGGCGCCACAGACCTCTAAGCACCGGCTGCGGTGCGCGCCGGGTAGGAAAGAGAACGCCGCCGCCGCGCGCGCCACTGACCGAAGATGCCAGCACAGTTCCACGGCCGCGACGCCGCTGGCACGGCAGACAAAAACAAAGCCTCGTCCGAGATGCTCCCCGATGCGCAGCCGCAGAGCGTTCAACCTTACTTTACCCGTCTTACCTCGACTGGCCGGCGCTGTTGACTGACCAAGCCCCGAGTGGCAGGAGGACCCCCTAAGACTTCGCCGCCGGCAGTTGACCCAAATCCCCCCCCCCCCCGCCGCCGCCACACTATCGACGCCGAAGCGCGTTCGCCGAAGTGCCGCCGTCTGACCCCGTTCGACCGGCGGCAATTGGGGCTCGTCCGGCGGCAGCGCGCGAAGTGGGCCGAGCTCGCTCCGGCGTCAGCGCCAGCTCGCGCCGGCGCCGGCGCCACCCCGGCCGCGCACGCGTCGTCACCGGCGGCGGAGGCGGAACGGGAGCTTCGCCAATCGCGACACCTGCGCGTGGAGGGGTGGGGCCCGACCGCATCACACACGGGCATCCAGCAGAGCATCTTGGACGCGTGGCTTCCCGGCTTGATCTCTCAATTTATGGATCTAAAACTGCGCATACCAGGCCAGGCCGAATTCCGCGGCACCGGCCGCTTCCATCAACAAGATGCTTTGTTTTCATGAGCCTGGCTGCAGCCAAGGCAGCGTTGACGGGACAACGAGGCGTGTGTGTGTGTGTGTGTGTGTGTGTCTGTGTGCGTGTATGTGTCGGGGGGGGGGGATAATTGCCACGTACGTGCGAGCGTGGCGTATGTGGGGCATCGATTGACCCCTAGCCCGGGGCAGGCACGGTGGTCTCCCTTCCCCATTGACAATGCATAGCCACTGCCATCACCGAATGGCACGCGTCCGCTTCTAGGTCAAATGCCCCATCACGGCCCGGCGAATCCGAAATTGACAGCCGAGCGCAGTTTTTGCCTGGCAGCCGAGCGCACTCGCCAACGCCAGTCGCCACAGTACGGTGAGCGCCGGCGATCATGGATGAGGAACGCGTCCCGATTTAAGGACAACTCAAGGGAAGCTTTATTGTCACGTCCCTTCACGGCGACGACTGCGGAGCGAGAATGAAAAATGGAAACAACCGTCCTGCTGGTGCGCGATTTTTGTGATCGTTCGCCTGTTGTCCACGCAACGTCATCACGGGCTCACGTGAATTTGTAGGGATGGAAGTGTTTTTTTTGGGGGGGGGGGGGGGGCCGAAAAATCAACCTAACCCACAGCACCCCTCAATGTTGTGTCATTTAAACGCTGATCATTACCTTCAAGTACCGCAATACCCGTTGGAGAGATTGGGTCTACCAAAATCATGTTTTATTTTGTTCCCTTGCCACAACTAGACGCCCATCATGCGCCCTGTCACTGCCAAGAGCGTTACCAGATAAACAATATCATTTCAAAGGTGCCATTACGGCGACCCTCGCTTGCCCCAGTCCAACGTGGAGGCTAAAACTTCACAGAATTACAGCGCAAAGAGAAAGCCTCTCACAGAAACATGCCAGTCATGGAGACAATGTGCCTCAACGTACTTACCCTTGCCTAACACATTTTTCGTTGAGCCCTTGCAACCATAACACGAATCCAAGGCGGCACAAAAGCAGCGCAAGGCAGACCTGGAGGTGATTTAAAGACCATATGTCTGGCCTCGTAATCTTAAAAGCCTAACGCCAGCTCAACTCGACCCTCCGCCAGTGCCGCCCGTTAGCGAAACCTCCCCTTTCGCCGCCAAGCGGTCGTCGACCGATCGCTTTCGACCGGCAACGGTTCCTCGCGGCCGGCGGCGCCCGAGGCCAGCGCGCCGGCCAGACGGCGTCTCAAGGTCGTCCAAGGTCAGGAGGTCACGGTCAGCCGATGCCCGGGGGCGGCGGGGTCGGCGGCCGCGCTCCTGGCCGGGGCACCTTCACACGGCACCGCTAGGCGAACCCGTCGCCGCGGAGAGGGTTGAACGCACGGCGGTCGCCGCGCCGGCGCTGGTGTCAGAGTCGGGCGTGACACGGGAAGTGCCAGGTGACAGAAATGGTGTCAGACGGCCCGACGAAGC